AAATTTTACAAGTTTTTGTGGGGGAGGCTTTTCCTCCTCTTTATTGTCCTTCTTATTATCCTTCTTATTGTCTTCCTTATTGTCCTCCAGAAGATTTGATTAATGAGCCTCTTTAGAAGGATCTGCTAGAGGTCCCAAGCAATAATAAATAGAGGACCACATGCTAAAAAAATGAATAGGAATATTTTCCTCTCTTTGGTGAGGTCTTTTTACATTTTCTTCTACCTGCTTCCAGCTATCAGGATCTAAATTTCCATGCTCAGGAAATCAAGAATTAAGTTGGATAACTGTCTCTATAAAATCTTCAATTTGTCCCTGGGTGTAAGATATACTCTTACTTTTTAGCAAACAGCACAGTAGCTGTAAGAATGCCTATGTTCTGAACTCAGTGAGTTCCCCATTTCCCCAACTTACAGTTCACAACACCTTGGGTTGAGGCTCCACAGCAAGCCTGTCCTTCCTTGTATTATACTGCCACGATGTTTAGAGTGGATCTGAGTCATGGCACCACTTGCTGCAGTCCAGCTCCAGCATGGGCTCTAACCCTGGTCTTGGTTGCTCGAGCAGCATATAATGACACAAACTCAGGGTAGTGCCAGGCAGCAATGGTGTAGTTCATTTTCTGAAGAGTGTATTTAAGCAGTGCAGAAAAATAGGAAGGAGTACATGGTCATTCCCAGGTTTCCCTTGACCTCTGTACTAGGATTGGCTGTCACGTTGCTATGGCTACGAGCCCAAGTGTGGAACATCATGCTTTTGGTATTGAGTCTTCCTGGTCCCATGCAGAGAGAGAACAGGGGAGTTCAGCAACTGTCTTCTTGGATTGTTGCAATCTCTCTTAGGGCTGTTGCACGAAAGCTACAGTGACTCTGCTCTTTTCCAAGAGGCTTTGGGGGTCCTGAGGGTTTCCCACATCTCACTATCATTTGAGAACATGAATGGAAAACAAAAGTTCAGAGGAATGCTGCATTCATTTTCTGCCTAAAAAGTTGGGACAAAATATAAACATTCTTCTTCCCTCTATCTTCTCAGTTCTGAGGTTTTCAGACGTAGCCTGAAATGTATACCATATGGTCTCTAGCTTGGGGCCTTTTTAATTTTTGTTTTTTATTGTTGTGCTGGGGGTACATTGTGGCATTTACAAAATTTCTTATAAATATCAAATATATCATACCTGAATTCATACCCCTCCAGCATTCATTCTCCTTTATCCCACTCTCCCCTATTCCTGGAATAGTTTAAACAGATCTCATTTATCTCTTTACATACATGTGTATGCAGTATTTGCATGTATTAACCCTCTTACACCCTTTCCCCACCTCCTGTCCCCTCCCACTGACACCAACCCCCTGAGACAGAACCTATTTCATCTTCATGTTTTCTGATTTTGTGAAAGAAAAAGAATGACATTTTTATTTGTTTAAGGTATCTATACAGTGAGTTTCCTCATGACATTTCCATGTATAAATGTATAATAACCTGAATTGGTTCATCTCTATTTTTCTTCTTTCTACCTTAGTCCTGTCTTATGGTCCTATCAACAGGTTTAAAAATGCCATATTCATTCTTGTGAAGAGAGTACACCCACCATATTCACCTTCTTAACTTCATTTTTTTACCCTCCCATTCTCATATGTGACCTCTCCCTAGTGTGACCTGTTTTTCATAATATTGCTGTATTTGTATTAGGTCTATACTTTACGTATTAGAGAAAATATGCAGCTTTTGCCCTTCTGAATCTTGCTAATTTCACTTAAGATGATATTCTCCAGTTCCATCCATTTACCTGCAAATGATAAAATTTCATTCTTCTTTGTGACTGAATAAAATTCCATTGCATATAAATACCACATTTTCTTAATTTATTCATCAGTAGTAGGACTTCTTGGCTGTTTTCCTGGGCTCACATATCCTTAGAGGATCCTTTCCAAAGCTGTCCAACAGGGAGGGGCAGCATCCATTGCTCTGAGGCTTTTGATTTCCTAGGGCTAGTAAACTGCATATATTTGAATTTTTAATCTGCACAATCATGTAAGGCAATATTTAAAATAAGTCATTTTCCCTCTTTGCTTCTTTCCCATTCTCCCTCTCAATTTTTAGAGAGAGGGAGAGTGATAAGGAGATGGAATAAAAGGAAAGAGAGAGAGAGTTGTTTCTCTAAAGAATTCTCAGCAATACGACTAGCACCACACATATCATACACTTACTAATTTTATTATCTTGAAAATTAGATAGAATGTTTTGATGCAAGGGTTACTATTGCCATCAAAAGAGTCTCACTTAGAAAGTTATCTTCTTGGAATTAGTAAAGATCATAATATTATAGAAACAGGAACACCTACAAAATTTTGAGAATGATTGTCCAACTGTTAATTTATCTTGACAATCAACATTACTATAATTGATAGAGATTCCCACATTACTTTGCTGAAATGTAAATTAGAGAATTTTGTTTGTCTATCATTGATCTTCATTCCAAAGAAAAAGTTATAAAACATTCCACAATACTTCATCCTATCAACATACCTGTAGAATCCCTCATCCACTTGCCCAATCCTGGGAAGAAAGTAGAAAACAGAAGTTTTTTAGCCAAGAGTATTTGCATAAGGCTGTTTAAGAAATGAATATAACAACAAGAAAGGGACTAAAGTAGAAAGAAGAAAAATAAAGGAAATGAACCAAATTGGGCTATAATGCATATAGACATGGAAGTGCCACAAGGAAACTCTCTGTACAACTATTTTAATCAAGTAAATACATCATTGCTTTCTCTCTCTTTTTTGCAAAATCAGAGAACAGGAGACCAGAACAGGTTCTGCCTAGGGAGGTTGATATCAAAGTGAGCAGGGAAGAAGTAGGGAAAGGATATAGGTGGGTGAATATGGTACAAATACTGTGTACACACAAATGTCAATGGAGAAAAAGACACTTGTTGAATCTATTCCAGGAATTGGGGGAGGGGGAAAAATGTTGAAGAGGGTGAATTCAAGTATGATATATTTGTTTCATTGTAAGAATCTTTGTTAATGCCACAATGTACTCCTATGCAGCAAACATTAAAAAATACAATAAAATGCAGAAAAGTGAAATGAATTTAAGAAACCTGAATACTACATTTAACTCATACTTAATATATCTTAGTATAAATTTATTCTTCACTCATCATTTTAAACAGTGATTCTCCAAGTGTCATCCCACACCAACAGCATTAATACTGCTGAATCAGAGAGTAAAATGATGGAGCCAATCATTTTGCATTTACACAAGATATTCATGGAAATTCTGATGCACACTAAATTAAAAACCCACTGTTTTCTTTTATGCCCAACCCTGAAAAAAAATCTAGAATTAAGAAATTTTTCACATACACTTAAAATCCAGAGTCAATATATTCCTGGCTTGGTTAGTACACAATCTAGAATTTGAGGAAGAATTGTCTTAGTTTTGATTGAGGCTACAGTCTATTATTACTCTGAAAACACATTATGGAAGTTAGAACATTTGAGAAAAGCTTTGAAGAAAGCACATCATCAAAATTGTAAGTGAAGAGACAGTTGGTGGAGGTGGGATTCTGTATTGATAGATTTGAATGAGAAAAATCATTTACCTCCAGAGTGAAGTTATGTCCAGAAAGTTTTCAGTAAGACATTTTGGTTATGAAATAGATTTCATTAGAACTGTGGAAGAAGAAATTATAGAGTCAAATCAAGGTTGCTTTGCTAATTGCAAGTACACCATGTTATGTTATGAGCAAGTTCTGGGTGAGGATTATTTGTGAAACATATCTATATCTAGGCATATATCTATATATTTGTGTGTGTATATTCATATATATCTGCATATTTACATTTGTATCCCATAATCCACACATAGTTCTGAATAAATTGAGTTATGCAGATTTAGGTATTCATACCACATATATAAATAGTATACATTATATGTAATATATAATGTGTATATATAATATGTATCTATATATCTATGTCTATATCTATTTATCTATCTATATCTATCTATACCTATATCTATATCATCTCTATCTATATATATCTATATATAAGATTTGTTAGCAATGGCAATCCATCCAAGTCATTGAAGAGAGGTAATATTTGGGAAGCAACAGAGTATCCAGAGGATGGAAGGGTTGAGCAAGGTTTTGCAACACACAGACGAGTGGATTTTAGAATGAGGGCTTTCAGTAGCCTAAGCAGTCATGAGGCACTATGGCATCAAATCCTCTTACCCTTACTTGAATTTTGGCAATATGAATTTAAACACCTCAAGTGAATAACAAATTTCAGTAACATTTAAGTGTTACCAATAAGGGATATTTTGTTGTTGCTTTGCTTTTTCATTGGTTTTACTTTTACATTTTGGATTTTTGTTTTATTTTAGAAAGATTGGAAATGTTTCCTTGCTCTTATGCAACTTTTCCTTTTAATTTCAATGTCCATCCATAAAGCTTTCTTCAATAAAGTATCTTTCTGAATCAGATACCTCTTCATATTGCCCAAAGAAAGGAAACTTACTTAGTCTTTTCATTCAAAGAAGCACAATGAGCTAAAAACAATTTACTGTTTAGCTCTGCTTCAGTAATGACTACCTTGTCATTTGTTTTCTAGATTACATTCTAGTGTTCATTTTCTTCTGTTTAATATAGGACTTAAATTGCTCTAAGAAGAGAAATTCACCGTTTTACAAAAAAGTGGAATAGAAAATTTTGGAAGGCTATCAGTATTCCTGGGATTTTCTTTTACTCACTCAAACAGAAAAATGTCATTACTATGGAGATAAAGTAATATAAGTCTCAGGCTTGACTGCACAATTTTTTATTTGAAGTGCACATCCATGTCCTTTTATGAGGAGGTATACTATACCAATGATCAGTGTATTTTTATAATGCTATAAAATAGAAATCTATAAAATGTTTTACTGATTTTTGCATTTATCTCACAATTTTGTAACCCTTATAATAAAAAGAAAACATATTAATATGGGACCTAAATGTTTCTTTTCAACATCTTTTTCAGAGAACCTAAGACCTGCTTGTTTCTCAGGCTGTAGATAATTGGATTTAAAACAGGAATTATAACAGTATAAAACAGAGAGATGATCATATCTTGATCATCTGCTTCTGAAGATGCAGGATGCACATACATGAAAAGAAGAGTACCATAGTATAAAGACACAGATAAGAGATGGGCTCCACATGTAGAGAAAGCTTTTCTTATACCTTTTTCAGACTTCTTTGTTAAAATTGTAAAGAGAACAAATGTATAAGAGATGAGAATAGTCAGGATGGAGAAAACTTGAATTGAGCCAGAGAATACAAAGATTATTAGGTAATTAATAGAAGGATCAGTACAGGAGATCTTTAACAATGGTATAACATCACAGTAAAAATGATCTATTATGTTGGATTTACAAAAGGTTAATCTGAATAAAAAACTTTCATGAATTACAGCATGAAGAAAGCCTCCTACTAATGATAAGACTAATAGGCGGACACATAGTCTATTGGTCATAATCATGGGATAAAGTAAAGGCTTGCATATGGCTACATAGCGATCATAAGCCATTACTGCCAAGAGAAAACATTCCGTAGTTACACTGACTACAAAGGAAAAAAACTGAATCATACATTCAGAGAGAGATATCACATTTCCCTGGTCTAATAAGTTGAGTAACATCTTTGGTGTCACTGTAGATGATAACCATGTATCCACAAAGGCTAAATTCCCAAGACATAAATACATGGGAATGTGTAGGTGAGGGTCATTCCAGATGAGACAAATGAGACCGAGGTTCCCAGCAACTGTGGTAAGATATACCAAAAAGAATACCAGGAAGAGGGGAGCTTTCCACTGTGGTAGGCGTGTGAGTCCCGTGAGAACAAAATCTGCCGGCCAAGTTGAATTTTCTTTTTCCATGTCCTCACTGGAAGTTCTCTGTAATTAAATATAATTAATGCAAAAGAGCATCCAGTAAGATTTATAGAGTAAAAATTGAAAGAGTGGAGTTGAGATAAAACAATATACTTTTCAGCATACTTTCTATTTCAGTACTTTATAGTAGAAGAAAACATTTGGGGAGAATTAAAAATGGCAAACAGGGCTTCAAGTGGCTGAAGTGATTGAGACCTTGAGTTCAAGCCCCTGCATAGCAAAAAAATAAAAAAATAAAAAAATAAAAAAAAAACCACCACAATTACTCAGTTTAATAAATATGTAGGGAGTAAGAGTTTTACAGAAAATGATAGCTGGATGCCAATGGCCCATGCATATAATTTTAGCTATTTATGAGGCTGAAATCAGGGTTGGATGAGGCAAATAGTTCACGAGATCCCATTGCCTAAAAACCAGAGCAAATGGACTGAATGTGTGGTTCAAGAGGTAGCATGCCTTCTTTGCAAACATGAAGCTCTGAGTTCAAACTCTAGTCACAACAACAACAAAAAAGGAAGCCTTCTAAGATTATGATCAATTTATTGGAAACCACTAAGTGTGTTTGGAAATTTTATGGCTGAGACAGGGATCAGGACCTAGAGCAAAGCTATTTTTTTTGATCCCTTGGATTGATAAATATGAGAAGGAATTTGCAATTTGTTCTTTAAGGAATGTGTGAGTCTATGAATATGTTTCAATATGCTAAATTATGTAATAAAACATTTTACATTAAATATTTGGTACAAAATTTAATGTACCAAATTATTTTTTACAAAAAAGCTTTACAGAAGAATCAGTGAAGTTAGAATATCAATCAAGATGCCATTATTGTTCAAGATTTCCAAACCAGATTGCATATCTCTATGTTCCAGCAAGCTTATTGTACAAAGTAATACTATAGCAATAAAGTCAATATTTCAAAAATGAGTTAGGGATCTGATGACGAAACAGTGAGCATCTGGTCCATACATTGTATGGCATTTATATTGATGAGGTGAAAGAAGAGATGAGTTGAAAGGAATTCAGAATGTAGAGTCACTAGGAGTCAGTTAAATATTTTTAATGGTAGCCAGTGAAGGACAGAACAATCACTTGGTGACTGGATAGGTGTTTATCAGAAATAAACAGAACTCTGGTTCATTACCAGATTGTGGAAAGAGCATCTCTCAACATCCAAGTGAATTGTAGTTAGTAATATGAGTTTACTAGACTCTAGAATAAGTAGCAATGTTGACATTATTGAAGAAGTTGCAGGAATAATTATAGGTAACCTATTCATCAGAGTATACACAAAAAATGAGAGAAAAAAAACATTTTCAAAAACTTAAAATAAGAAGGGAATGTGGATGGATGCCATTTACTAGTTGACTACATATGAACCCCTTTCTAAATCATAAGTATTTTTGGTTGGCAGAAAATACCATGTATTGAGGAAGACAAAAAGAGCTATAAACTCATTTTCCTAGGTCACTCACACTTAGAGTGGAAGTGAGGTACTTGATGTAAGTCGCTCATTTATAGCCACATACACAGTATTTGGAATATGGAGAGAAGACAAGAGTACAGGAAAAATAGGGTTTTGAAGTGGTGGAGGCAACGAAGGTAATGATATCAAGACTACAGCAAATGTACTTGGCAACCAAAACAAAGAAACAAACAAAAACCAAATAGCAATATCAGAGTGAGTTGTAGCATCTGAGGAAAACAGCAGTAATAGCAGTCCTTATCAAGAGATACTATGGGACGTGATTTTGGTTGCTGATACACAGCCTGGCTTAAACCTTCTATTTTCTAGCTGATTTTTGTGAACTCTTGCTCATTTCTTGCTCTGAGCCTATTTCTACTTAATAAACTCAATTTTTTTGGAACAAAGAGCCCTAGATTGAGCAAAACTAACACTAGAAAAAAATAATTGAATGGTGGAGTGGGTGAATTTAATTATGATATATTTGTTATATTATAAGAACTTTTGTAAATGCCACAATGTATCCCCTCCCAGCACAACAATTAAAAAGAACAAAAATACTGAGCAGAGTGATCCTACAAGGAAAGGAACACTAGAAAGCTTGGATATTTGAAACTAAGAGAAGAAGGATATTCAAGAAAGACAAAATCAAGAATGGTGCTAATTGCCAAAAAACATGCTCTAATATGATAAGAAATTAATGGAGATATTTTAGAGTAGAAATTAAGAAATATTTATTGCTTTTATTGAAAGCATGTTTCTACATGTGATAGAGTTGAGAGCAGTGAATAATTCAAAGTGGATGGAAAATAAGTAGCAGAACAGCAATGAGAATTGGACAGTGTATTGTGAGTTGGAGAACAGTTTGTATTTGCATTCTGAATGCAGTCAATACACTATCTTTTTCCTTCAAAACATCTATAATGTTATGAAGGCAAGAAGAAAATGGGACAGAAAAGAGAGATAAAGTGGAATGCGAGAGTTGTAAAGAAATTAAGAAAACCAAAAAGGAACTTGGGGCAGATGTGAAGAAAATAAGAAGAAAAAAACATTGGCAAAGAAAAACAATTGTGGCTAAGCACACAAACATCAAAGAATAGAGAATGTATCTGAGAAAGGCCGAACATGAGATAAAGAGAAAAGTCTGTAATACGGATGCAAATATTATTTTGTCCATAAATAGCATTTCCTCAGTAATATTCCATATTTTAAAGTTGCTATATATTTACATATGAGGTCAACATGAAAACTAAAAGTTTAATTGATGTATTGTATATTAGTAATTTGCCAAAGAGTAGATTTTAAATACTTTTGAAATCACCAACAAAAATTAATTATAGGATATGATGGAATGTTAATTTGTTTTCCTACGAGAATCACTTTTCTATGTACATTTTTATCAAAGCATTATGTGATAAATCTCAACTATAACAATAATTTTTTGTATTTTTTATCTTTATCAATGCAGTGATAGAAACAAACGTTCTCTAAAAATTGTACTTGCTTAAAGTGACAGCATTTTCTTCCCCATCAGCATTGTAAAGAGAATGTTATATAACAAAAGACAGGAACCTAATAAAAACAATATCAATAACCAACACTAATAAGTCCTCAGGCTTGATATCTTTTTATTTGGTGTGTGATTTTCTCCAATAATTCCAAATTAGTACATAAGTGAAAATGATCAAATTTAATTTGAATGTGAGTATTTAGCATTAGTATTAAATGTTTATTAAGTATAAAATGATGACAGGATCAGTGGAAAAACATGACTATCCTATTTGTTGATATAGACATTTGTATTTATACCTATCCATCACATATAACATATATACAGAACATATATACACACAAAATGCATAACAATATATTGTTAAGAATTAATGAACATATACAGCTATAAATCACATAATATTTTACCTTTCAGGTGAAGAATTTAGAATACAGAAATTTTTTCTGTCTCACCCATATACTGGAAAACTGTGGAGATTTCTTAAAAGTGTTGGGATTTATAAAACAGACAAAAATAGAATATCAAGGATCAATAGTACCAAAAATAGAAAATCTTTGCTTATTGATTCATTTTATTTCCCAGTCTCAGTAAAATGTTGCTTATATAAGTTTTGCTTTTAATACAGTTAACCCTAAGTGGAAGGAGTGGAGATGTGAAATTCCCCTAAGAGTACCAGAGTGTTCCCAGTAGGACAAAATGAAGCTTTTCTACTGGGCACTTGTAGATTATTAGAAGGAAGGTGGTTGCATAAGCATCACAGACTCCTGGAAAGCTCAACATCAAGGCATTATAGACAGCTCTAGTTTTGACAAGTAAAATTTCACTTTGATTTAATATTTTTCCATCAGAGATGACACTTTGGACATATTAATGTAAACTCTGCTTAATAGAAGTGTTGTTAGAGTGCTTTGGTTAGTATGGTTCTGCTTGATCTCATTAAAATGCAGTTTTAAAAAGGCCAAGATCTATGTTTCTTTCAGGATCTAACTACAAGAAAAATTGTCATCCTCATGAAGATGGTATCTCAGTTACAGACATATATCTAGCTACCTCATAGAAGCTAAGATTTGATGAGAAATCCCACTATGAAAATGTGAGATGAAGTAGCTAAAGAAAGCCAAAGACAAGTTCTTCAATGGGAGGTAAGCTATATCTGTGCTTACCCAAGATTTGGTCTATGAATTTTCTAGATATTTTGTGAAAATACTGATTTGTTTCAGTAGTTGTGAGTTATGGCTCTGGAGTCTTCATATCTAACAAAGTTATATCTGTGCACACTTGCCAATGGAGTCTTCATATCTAACAAAGTTATATCTGTGCACACTTGCCAATAGATTTTCATAGGAAGACCTAGAGTATGAGAGAGCCATGACTGTACTGATTATAGACAAACCAAAAATTTAAAAGGAACAAATTGCAAGTTGCCAAAAGGACCAGGCAGCCGATCAAGTGTGGGTTCACAAATGAATTGGGAGGTTAAGCCAGGGAATTTCTTCTTTAGCTCAGTTTTAAAGGAAAGCAATTCATTGATTATGAATATGGTGGTAAAATGTTCAAATTTTGTTTCAATCAATCATAAATGAAGCAACTTTTCAATGAACATTCTTGCAAAAATAACAATATGTTTATTGACATCTATGTTTTATGTCTAAATAAGTGAGTTGTGAAACACTATTGTGATTTTATTTTTATTTCAATGGTAATTAATGTAATATTTTGTGGTAAATAATGTAGTCCAGCATGTCTTTCTATACTTATTTGACAGCTACATATGTTTACTTTTAACTATTTAAATGTTTTGTCTATTTTATTTTTTTCCTCTTGTACATTTTAAAAAAATGTTTTATTATTGTACTGGGGGCACATCATGGCATTTACAAAAGCTCTTACAAAATGTCAAATAAATAATAGTTTAATTTACCCACTCCATTGTTCTCCTTTATTTCCCTCCCACCATTCCTGGAATAGTTTTAACAGATTTCATTTTTCCACTTACATACATGTGTACAGAGTAGGCAC